CTCTCTACCGACTGCGACACACGGCATGATTTACATGCTGTATAATCAGCTCAGTAATGGTTCTGATGGGCCTCTGTCACACAATTTGTTCTCCTAATATTGGCTTGGCTCACCTTCAGGGTCTCACTGATAAAAATGTGCGTCTCAGAACTAATTTCGTGCACAACACATCCTCTGTATAATGGCATTAAATGGCAGTTAAAGAACCAAACATTTTCAAGGTTGCCAAAATGTGTTCCAGGAACTCATGCTGTAGATAGGAAACAAGATATTGAGCTTCCTTTTCATTAAAATTGACAACGTTTTACATAACAAGCAGGCATGTCATTCCATTTAAAAGTTTAAGGGAATTAATTATGATGTAAATAGAACTGTTAGGCAGAACCTTTTGAACTCTGTAATTTTTCAAATTAATCTGCTTCTCATTTATTTTATAAAGGAACCAGATATGCTCTGCTCATTTAAACTTTATAAACATATATATTTTTTAATACAATGGCTAACAGGATGAAAGTAAAGAGCTAAAGTTAGCCAGTGTTCTTAATGATAATCAATTAAAACACTATTTCCAAGAAAACTTGTTTTGCTTGAAACATTTTGATTAGAGAATTTACTTTTTTTTTTTTGAATTGACAGTATTTCATTGGAGATGAGAGAGGTCATCTTTCTGGGGATATGGCAACAATAGCAACATCCACTTAAACTGAAGAAGTAAAATAATTTAGTTTTTATTCATTTAATTGACCTTTGCAGGAATTGAATTGTAATAATGTTATGGCAGTGAACTTCCTATATTTTAAAACGCTGAATCAATATATTGAGATATAGGGACTTAGAAATGTACTGCATTACAGAAGCTCCCCTCTGATTTTTCCTCAAGTTCAGATGACCCCTTGTATTAAAGTGCCCCTATTATGCTATTTAAAGTTTCCTAATGTTGTTTTGGAGTCTCCTACAACAGGTTTACATGCATCAAAGGTAAAAAAAAACTGTTTAATTTTCTCATAATATATATTTGCACATCACCACATTTTCAATGATTCTCAAACGACTCGTCAGATGAATCAATCTCTCTAAATCCCTCCTTTCCGTGAGCTACTCTGCTCTGATTGGCCAGACAGCTCAGTCTGTTGTGATTGGTCTACCGCGTGCAGCGCATGTCGTAAACAAAAACGCCCATTGCCAAAACAACGTCAGCTCTGCTTGTCCTGAGGCTTCCTACACCGTAAACTAAACACCGTAACAAACAATGACTACGATTTTACCATATCAATCCAAGCGCGAGTCCGATGATGAAACATTGATAGAACTATTCATTCAACCCGAACCTCCATCGCAAGGACGACTCGAGCAGGACGTTTCTCAGTGATACACTCAGTTTGAGGTACATTATGAGATGTTGCAACTGTAATTCCTCACCATTAGCATTAACAAGTGCATGTCCATCAACAAACCGATTATTTTACTTGTACTTATTTATTTACAGAGTATTTTTCTAATTTATTGCGTTGAACATGTGGAAACTGTAGCAATAACAGTTCATAGCCGAGCTCTAGCGTTAATGACTGATTTACCATAAACGTTGGTAAAACAAATCTGGCTCTATGCTTAATCTTTCCTCAAAGTAGTGAGAACGACAGACTATCTGCGTTAATAGACACAGTTTTAGGTAATAGTGGCCCACAACTGATTAGCAGAAGTATTTCAGTAAGACAGTAATAATGTGAGTAAACAGGAGACCGACACAATATAAAACACAAAACTAAGTATTTTGAACACCATCTTTCAAGAGCAAGCGTTTTGCGAATCCTGCATTGAACTCCCGAGATGAGAAGCAGTCGTCAGTAAAATGAAGGGAACACAGCAAAAGTTTAGGATTACACTGCTGTTATCATGGTAAAGATAAATTCTTCACATATTCATCCTTGGGCAGTGGAAAAAAACTGGCTGTACCTTCACATTGTAGAGCACAGCGTCTTCTGGACATGATGCTGTCCAGTGTCCACAGGAATCAGCTGCAGTGTTTGAGGTTCAAGTTTTCCCTGGTCTCTGCGAGCGCAATAAGTGAGCGGGCAATATGCTAATGTTTCGTCTTGACGTCACAACGAAACGGCGTATGACTCGTTTGAAAAACGATTCATTTCATTGACCGAGTCGACTCTTACTTTTGAAAGACAATAACTTTATATACGGTGCACTTTCAGATTTAAAACTTTGCAGGATGTTTTCATTCACTTAGAGCTATGTTACACATTAGCCTACATGAAAGGTAGTTTTCAAAAATCCATAATAGGGGCACTTTAAATGATGAAACTCACGCTGGAAGACAAAGGAGTTCAGAAAGCAACCAACCTCACTCCTTACCCTCCCAAAAAGTTTATAAACAAAATCCATCTTCTCACTAGACAGAATGGCTCATAATTAATGCATCTAAGACTGCAATTGTGTGGCTGTGGGCAAGATGGCATGCTGTTCCCCTCTGCAAGGTGCATATCCTGCTCGCCCTTGTGCTGCTGCTTCAGTTCACTCGGAGAACTCTGTGTTTTTAAACTGTTCATAACAGTTCATAATACTGATTATTTAACTAATTACAGTTAGTTCACCCTGAAATAAAATTCTGTCAATTACTCACCCTCACATTTCATTTGCAGAATGCAAAATAAGATATTTTGAAAAAATGTTGTCCAAACAACTTTGGACCCCATTTACTTCCATTGAATAGACAAAATGTATAATGTAATGTAATAAATATATTTATTATTTATTTATTCTTGCAAATGCAGGTTTAGATCGACATTAATGATTAAATGAGGACAGAATTTTCCTTTTTTTGTGGACTGTCCCATTAAATGATCTGCATTAGGTCAGGTTTACTGAGTAGAAACTACAGTTTGGTGTGTCTGTCACTGTGAATGGTGGAGTAGTTCACTCCAGTATTGTGTTGCTTCATAAAATCCTATATTAGAATAAATAAATACATATAATGATAAACATGTTTATAGGTCCTTTCCAACATTTTTTACGAGTTCATTGTGTTAGGTGCAACAAAAAAGCTTGACTATTGTATACTGTAAAGTCTAATAAGTTGGCACAACTAAAGAAAATTGAGGTAATCATTTGTCAGTTTTTTGATGCCAAAATAAATTCCTAAAAGAATCCTAACTCTGTGACCCGTGTTGGCAAAAGGAGTAGGAATGAGCAAATTTTCACATACTAAAAAATAAAAAAAACCTTAAAAATGATGTATGATTTGTTGGAATCGGACAAAAAAAACAACAAAAAAAACAAGTCTGTTTGAAGTCGGCAGGTCAATTTGAGAACAATCGAGTTAAAGTTTTCTGAAGGTTCCAAAACAAAATTACTTAGCAACCATACCTTAAAATCCCTGGTAATACCACCAAAATTGGCACACACCATTCAAACCAAATATCCTACAGAAATATATATATTCAACTTTCTTTCCCCCATGATACCATAACTGTTTGATTAACATTTATTTATTAATTGTAACCATTTTATTTAACAGACAGCTTATATATTCAGACCTAACAGTACCGCACGGATGTAATATAATGTTACACACAGATGATTTTCCCCAACAGTTAACCAAACGTTTTAAGACATAACAGATATTGTTTGCGTGAATACTCGCCAAGACAGATATTTGAAATACTGTAATTTTGTGTGTATGTGTATATCGGGATCGTGGGCTGTCTGAGGTCTTTGTGCACACTCTTCGGCTCTGTCAGTCAGCGCGAATAAGAATCATTTTGTTTACATCTGCATGAGTTGGAAAATCACATTTCATTGGTTCAGACTCATGTCATCAAGAATTCGCTATGAATATTTACAAAGTTGGAATACTGCGCTTTACAACGATACCAAACTTGTGCTAAGGGGAAGCTCGAGAAGTGAGCAGAGCATTTTTCATGGACAAAGGAAATGTACTCCTTTTCAGAAAACGCACACATAAAGATACTTTTAGATGTTTAATCGCTATTTGGAGCATTGGGGTCGCTAGACGAGGGCTTAATGAACTAATTTGTGTGAAAACCTCAAAATCGATTGACATTGAAAAGTGAAATTTTTCACTTGGTTTACCTGTAGCTCGAAATTAGTCTGTGTGCACTCATTTTGCCAGCTCGGGTCACTTTTCAGTGTACACCTGTGGCCATTGTATATAAAAGGTAACCTTGACACAGCCCTTCTTGCTGGAGGTTGATAGTGTTCAGTGGGGCAGAGGGAGATTAACTCCAGTTTTTATTTAGTCTCAAAATTGATCTGTGTGAATTTTGGGCTGACATTAATGATGCCGGCTATCTGGATCTAAGCTGCTTGCTCTGGTGCAGGGTACTATCTGAAATCGATAGGGCCCTCTGTTTTTCTCTGTCTCGCATACACTTTTTCTCCTCTCCTCAATCTTTTTCTTCCAAGATCCTGAGGTGTTTTTTTTCTTCATATATGGTGAAAGCTCACGCTGTGGCCCCTGTACTCATGTGTAATCTTTGCCACACTTTTCACGTCCCCCCCTGCCATGAGCCGGTGATCAACATGATGATCCTCTCTTCTCTCAGCCAGACTGTCCCCTGTGGTCATTTCATTCTCTCTCTCTCTCTCTCTCTCTCTCTCTTCATCTCTATCTCTCTTCATCTCTTTTCTCTCTCTCTCTCTCTCTCTCTCCTCTCTCTCTCTCTCTCTCTCTCTCTCTCTCTCTCATCCTCTCTCTCTCTCTCTCTCTCTCTCTCTCTCTCTCTCTCTCTCTCTCTCTCTCTCTCTCTCTCTCTCTCTCTCTCTCTCTCTCTCTCTCTCTCTCTCTCTCCGGGGGCGGCCTACGAACTCCTGTGTGAGTCTTAAAGCTGACTTCTGCTGATGAAAATGCAAACTATCTTCAGTAAAACTTTTCTTTAATTTTTTATAATTCTGACTCCGGGTCTTCATTCTTTATATCTGGTTCTGGGTCTTTGACTGTATACCCCTTACAGTTATGTATACCCTCTCTCTCTCTCTCTCTCTCTCTCTCTCTCTCTCTCTCTCTCTCTCTCTCTCTCTCTCTCTCTCTCTCTCTCTCTCTCTCTCTCTCTCTCTCTCTCTCTCCTCTCTCTCTCTCTCTCTCTCTCTCTCTCCTCTCTCTCTCTCTCCGGGGGCGGCCTACGAACTCCTGTGTGAGTCTTAAAGCTGACTCTGCTGATGAAAATGCAAACTATCTTCAGTAAAACTTTTCTTTAATTTTTATAATTCTGACTCCGGGTCTTCATTCTTATATCTGGTTCTGGGTCTTTGACTGTATACCCCTTACAGTTATGTATACCCTCCTCTCTCTCTCTCTCTCCTCTCTCTCTCTCTCTCTCTCTCTCTCTCTCTCTCTCTCTCTCTCTCTCTCTCTCCTCTCTCTCCGGGGGCGGCCTACGAACTCCTGTGTGAGTCTTAAAGCTGACTTCTGCTGATTGAAAATGCAAACTATCTCAGTAAAACTTTTCTTTAATTTTTTATAATTCTGACTCCGGGTCTTCATTCTTTATATCTGGTTCTGGGTCTTTGACTGTATACCCCTTACAGTTATGTATACCCTCTCTCTCTCTCTCTCTCTCTCTCTCTCCTCTCTCTCTCTCTCTCTCTCTCTCTCTCTCTCTCTCTCTCCTCTCTCTCTCTCTCTCATCTCTCTCTCTCTCTCTCTCTCTATGTATCTCTCTTCATCTCTTTTTTTTTCTCTTCTCATTCATGAAAAAAGGTTCAGTGGGGTTCTGTATAGATTTTTTAAGAGAACAATTTTATGCCAAAAGGGTATCATATAAGGAGAAACGTCGTAAATGATTGCATAATGCTTTTTATGTTTAATGAGTTATTTAATTTTTTTTCTAGTGATAAAGTATGTTGTTAAGTACGAGCTGTTTAATTCATCAAATTTAATTAAAATGAACAATTAATCAAAAAAGGTAATTAATTAAAACAAACTACAATGATGCCATGGTGAGAACCCCTACATGGATATGAAGCGCCAAACTCAACCTTTACTGTGCGTTCACACCGGACGCGAATAGCGCGTCAAATTCGCGTCTAGTTTGACGCTTGACCACTTTGTGTTAATTCGCGTTGTCAATGGCGAAATTGAACGCGCGTAAAAACAAAAGTTTGAAGCGAAATTTTTCGAAACCCGTTGGCGGCCATCTTTTTAGATGTTTAATCGAGCATTAGCATTAGCATTATTCGAGAGAGTCACCGCTTGTATATGCTCTGGAGAGCAGAAACAGCTCCGTAGGGGACATCGTCGCTGTACTCGGGTCCACCAGAACCTCCGGAGGGTTTCAGGAGTTTCAGCAATTTGCTCCAGGAGCTAGGTTTGGTGGACCTAATGGTGAGGACGCTGACGAGGACAGCGTAGGCCGTATAAGCCCTCGGCCTCGAGTGGTCTAGCTATGCCTGTCGAGCCCGCGCTCTACAGCCCGGCGCGAGGTTCACTCCTCGCCCGCATCCACCTAATCTGTAATTTATTTTTGTTTTGATAATAAATGAAGCCAGCCTCCAAAGTGATTAATCTGTCCTGTGATTTTTCTCTCTCTCTCACACAATCACTGTCCAGACACGAACTTATATGTTGGTTGTCTTTACATTATAATAATATTTTTATATAATCTAGATATGGAATAAATAGCATTCAATGGCAAAATGAATATGTCTCATATATTGAAATCAAGTTTTATGTGATAAAAATATTTGCTTTGTTGTGCATTAGAACCACAGTCATATATTACAAAATAATTTATTGAAGCATCCAGATACTTCACCACGTGACAGCAGCAAGCAGCTAGGCTCCTGATTGGTTTAACGCGGCGCGAATTGACGCAGAAGTTCAGATTTTTCAACTCGGGCGGCAGACGCGAAATTCGCGTCAAACTATGCACAAATAGCACTAACTAAATCATTCGCGCGTAACGCGCTTAACGCGCCAGACGCTCAATTCGCGCCATTCGCGCGAACTTGACGCGCGAATGAGGCGTATTCGCGTCTACCGCGCCGCGCTCTACGCCTTGTTCGCGCCGCAGGAATTTTTTACGCGCGTAACGCGTCTTTGCATTGACTTAACATTGAAATCACTCGCGCCTGACGCGCTATTCGCGTCCGGTGTGAACGCACCATTAAAGTTCTATATAGAACTTTTTTTAAAGAGAGTAGTCCAAAAGTCTGAGATCACATTGAAAATGTAATGTTAACTTGTAAATATACAGTAGGCTACAGAATGATTCTGCACTACATTTAGTTATAGGGTTGTCACTGTATTAAAATTTCAGTACAAAAACAAGTACAATTTCACGGTTCTATAGAAAAAAGCTGTTGAATTAAGTACTTTAATTATTGGTTACTAAGGATTGGCCATTGCATTCACATGCTCAACAGATAAGATATGAATTTTAAAGTCAAATTGACCGATGGCAAGATCAATCTTGTTTTCATTAACGGAAAACAGACACTGAGCAGTAAAAGCACTACATTTTACCGGTTTTGTAATTTATAATCATGCCGTAATCCCAGAACAAGAATGCACTGCTGAAGTCCTCACGCCACTCATTAAAGTTTCAAACGGAGGAGCAATAAAGGTGCAGTGTGTAGATTTTAGCGGCATCTAGCGGTTCGGTTGCGAGTTGCACTTATGGCTCAGCCCACTGCTCACCCCTCCCTTTCGAAGAAGCTACGGTTGCTAAAACGGGACAAACATATCCTCGTCTGAGACAGAAGAGAATAGCCAGAGTAAGCCAAGTTTCTGTGCCACAGTCCATTATAAACCACATCATGGATAAAGTTCACAAAGCCATAGTCAGGTGAGGATCAAGGGTCTTAATATATTATATATCAAGACCCTTGATAATAATAATAGTAATTAGCTGATTGTCTCACGAATGTAACCAGCACATTTCTCCCCACATAGCAAAACCATAATACAGCGAGGGAGAAGAACCACATGAAACTATCCAACTACATATTTTTTCTAACAGGGTAGTAAAAGTTTAGCTGGCTAATATGAGCTGTAATGCTGTAGGGCTGTGGCTGAGCTTAAAGCGTAAAGCATTGTTTTTACTCGACGCGTCCGCATGAGCCCAAAGGTGCGCGTGGCAAAAATGACGTGATTGTAACAGCGCGCGCGCCTCCGCATCCCTTAGACACCATTTACTACACACAAATTAATAAATGATAATGAATAAAAATATATATATTTTTTTTTTCTCTGGTTTAAAATGCTTCCAAGATCGACTTGTCGACCGCGATCGACGGGTTGGTGACTCCTGTAACGTTACTGTTTTATGTTCAATAGTACTAATCAGCTAATTGTCAAAGCCATAACACAGCGAGGGAGAAGAACTAAGTTACATGAAACAATCCAACTACATATTTTACACCACTGACAAGGGAAAAGTCACTACTCACGGTGTTTATGACTAGCTTCTAGCTTTCTGCGGCTTCTCTTTCAAGGTAGTGACGAAACGCGGTCTGTAGCGCTGTTCGTTCGCTGTCGGCTACAGTAGAAACATGACGTCACAATATGTCGACCTTCATAGAAGGGGGTGCCCGCGGTTATGTAGATATAAATGTCTCATTCTAAGGCAGTGGTTCCCAAAGTAGGGGTCGCGACCCCCCGGGGGGGCGTGAGACAGCGAGGGGGGGGTCGCGAGATGATTTCCAAGGGACCGTTTGGTATTTATGGAAAGGTCCACCGGAGGAAAATAGGGGAGGGTGTATTTTTATTCTTTGTTGAGGGGAGGGTCATTCAACTTTTTGTATCCATGAAAACAGCAAAATTTCAAATATTTTTTCCATGTAGCTCTCTCGGTCTCGGTTCCCCATCGCTATCAGATGGGTCTCCCAACAAAAATCCAGTTTAGCGCTGTCTGACAGTGCGCTGCGCGCGCTTCAGTGCGCGCTCAGAAAAAGTACATCATGTACAGAACGCCAATGAAATGTTTACCTGGCATAGCTTTGAAGCACGATTAAATAATTAACTTTTGTGATTACGAATAAGTGCAGTGTCCTGTGAGTAACTCTACCGCTGCATTAACATGTGATATGAATGTACGTTGAGTGTTTGAGTGTATTGGGACTGAAGTGCCAGAACTGCAGCTGATATAATGTGCGCTGTAGCACGATACTTCCATATTTTAGTTTCCATTCTTATTGTGTTTTCACAACAATGTTAGTGAGTAAATACTGAAATTGCCACCATAACAGTGGAGTGTGATGTGACGTAGGGCTATCACATTTTTAAATTACTATTAGTATTATTTGAAGTTAAAATAATCGGAAATACGCAGACCGACACCAAAAAACTATTTGAGGATAAATTATTTAAAATTGGGCAATTCCAGCGTTATGGACGTGACATTTGCAGTCAAAACTTGAAATATAAATGATCAGAAAATGTATTTAATACTGAAACAGGCTATCCATACCCCCAAAGGAGTCAAGACATTAGAAAAATATCAGTCTACTAGGGGTGTAACGATACACGTATTTGTATTGAACCGTTCGGTACGAGGCTTTCGGTTCGGTTTTCGGTACGCATTTTTGAACCGAACGGTTCGTTGGACCATTTTTCCTGCCGACCAAAATTTCGTTATTTCAAATGAAGGCGCGTCACGCGTGGCAAGCGCGCTCATAATGTGCGTGACCACAACATTGCCCAACATCAAATGGCAAATGTAATGTAAGCGGAACGAAACCACTCGTTATTGTGTGGTTGAAGGACCGTTTATCAGTTTGGACAAATACAGCGCGAGCCGATCTTAATCATCAGCACTGTTACTACACAGCCAAATCCAGTAAAGAAAGCATTTGAATTCGCCACTGAAGTAATAACATCGCTGCAAGATCTAGTGAGAAACATTCGCATTTCTCCGTTATTAACGGATCAAACAGCGCTGACGTGGAAACCAGGAAGAAACATTGTGCCATGAATGAACTATCCAGTGTCCACAGATCAGCAACATTCACCATGGGTTTACTGTAGTAACACTACTAACTGTAACCATGGAAGTTTGGCAGGAATAGTAGGCTATAATGCTTTCAAGTAACATCACGCCGGTTTTATTTTGACATTATGAATACAATTGCTGCCCTCAAATGTTAATCTGAACTAAAATAAACCTTTGTTTATAACTACTACAATATTACATTTAATTTTGTCCAAGGAGCTGTTTTGTTTTATAAGCTCCTAAGAAAAGTCAAGTATAGCTCCATCATTGCTCAAAGTTAAAAAATATCATACTTTATGATGTTAGTTTTAATAAAAATATAATTAAAAAGATTAAATCAAGGAAATTTCTCTGGCATTTCTTTCTTTTTGCTGTATCGGAAACGTACCGAATCGTACCGAACCGAACCGTGACACAAGTGTATCGTATCGAACCGAACCGTGAATTTTGTGAACCGTTACACCCCTACAGTCTACACATGCGTTTTATATTTAATATGAGCGAAATACACATGTGACGTGACAAAAAATCTTTAACTTTTATGTGGCAAAATATTTTTTAATAATTCTACGAATTACACTGAATTACACAAAACAAAAGTACGCTAATAACTGGATGAAGAAGGGTCGGCCTCCACAGAACATAAAATATTCTTTATTTTATTTTATTTTTCGTGTTCGCATTTATGAGGAAAAAAACAATACGGACGTGACAGTTCTCCGTTTCGGACATGACCGCTCTGAAAGCGACTTTAAAACTTCCACAGAGACTTCAGAAAGCACAAAGCCTTTCTTTAAAGTAAATTTCGTTTTTTATTAATTGTATCTAAATTTTAATTAATGTTTCATCAACCAATTACCTGGATTAATGAATAAGAAGTAAATATAGTAGAAAATAGATCATCATGACACGGAGTCGCCGGCGCGTGAACTGGACTCTTTCTCATGAACCGAAACTCAGCGTATAATGTAGCTACTTGCCTCACAGAATTGAGAAATATATAGAAAGCTTGATGTCAACTTTTAAACAGAACATTTAAAAACGAAAAACAGACTGCTCTCTGCTTATGTAATCCGTATGAAATCTGCATTTCTCTCTGGCGCGTTACTGTGAAGATGGCGAGTCAGCATCGTCAAATTCATCTTGAAGCCGACACACTGACACAGAAAAACCTTGTTTATTAATAAACAATTAATATCTCTCCCTGCTATACTATTTGACATATTCATAATCATTACTTTTGCCGGTTCTTTTGTGGCAGCCTTTAGATACTTTATTGGGAGCGCCACCCTTGTTACATGAACGCGTCACCACTGCATCAGCACCGAAAACATGATTTTTCTTCTTTTTTTTTAAATCTAAAATAAAAAATCATGATACGAACCGAGTTGTAGGTTTGGTCCATCGTTACAGCCTTAGTAAAACGAGAAAGTAGGAGTTTAGTCGTTTGTCATTTTGTAAAAAAAAAAAAAACAATGGCTATCTGAGCATCTTTGCCAAGCGCAAACCAGCAATCAATAAATTATCGGGGAGGGTCATGCCTTTTTCACAATCATTTTGGAGGGTCATGGAAAAATGTATTACTGGCGAAGGGAGGGTCAAGTATTTTGACTACAGATCTCAAAACTCCTCCGGTGGCCCCTTAAATAAAAAACGAACAGTCCCTAAATAAAAAATAATAATAGGCTAATAAAAAAAAAAAAAAAAAAAAAAAAAATATATATATATATATATATATAACGATTAGAAATAGCATATTGTATCCATAATTGTAACAAAATACAAAAAAATAGTTGTTAAATAAAAAAAATAAAAAATAAAAACATACAAATAAAAAAAAAGCCGTTGGTCCTGAGCCTGAGGTGATGACGAGAGATTAACGACAATTAGCGGTCACTTTACTACAGCACCAAGATAAACAGTCTTTCTGACACGTAGCGCAAGGTATTTTTTAGGTTTAAGTATAGGATAATATTGTTTTCGAAATGAAACGTTGGTTAATATCGACCAAAGACAACAAAGGAAGGCCAGCAGAGGTGCCAGCGGAGGAGAGTGGAGAAGTAGGCCTACCACCGTCGGAAATGCCATCGACCTCAGATACGGAAAGAGGCCGGCGTGTGCATAAAGAGCACATCCATCAGCAGTCGGATCAGCCTTCCTCCAAGTGTCGAAAGTATCGAGACGAATTTATCCAGTATGGATTCACATGCGTCATCATCAACGAAGTACAACATCCCCAGTGTGTAGTGTGCACTGAGGTGCTAGCACATGAAAGCCTAAAGCCTGTAAAAATGCTACGACACTTGAAAACCAAGCACCCCTCTCTTGCTGCTAAACCAGTAGATTTTTTCCGACGAAAGGAGCGAGAGTTGCAAGGCCAAAAGAAAGTTCTAACTAAACAAACAACAATCCCTGCCAAAGCTCAACAGGCATCATATGAGGTGGCATATTTAATTGCACTGGCAAAAAAGCCACACACGATCGGTGAAACCCTTATCAAACCCGCTGCTATAGCAATAAGTCGGGCTATGCATGGGGATAAACTGGCCCGTGAGCTAGAAGCAGTGCCTCTGTCTAACGGGACTATTGCCCGGCGCATCTCCGACATGGCCCAGGACATAAAGTGTCAGCTGGTGGACAGAGTGAAGAAAGGGAAATATGCTTTACAATTAGATGAATCCACAGATGTATCAAACTCTCCCCAGCTGCTTGTATTCGTCAGATACAGTTTTGACGGAAAACTTAACGAGGACATTCTGTTTTGCACCGCGCTTGAGGGAACGTGCACAGGCGAGGACATTTTCACAAAAGTTGACAACAAACTAAAAGAAGAGGGACTGTCTTGGGGTGAGTGCATCGGTGTGTGTACAGATGGTGCTGGAGCGATGCTGGGGAAAAAGAAAGGCCTTAAAGCAAGAGTCTTGCAAGTGGCGCCTCACATAAATTTCACGCATTGCATTATACACAGAGAAGCTCTTGCGAGCAAAACACTTGACCCAGAACTTAAACGTGTTCTTGAAACCGCGATAAAAATTGTCAACTACATAAAAGCGCGTCCACTCAATATCAGGCTGTTTGCCACTCTCTGTCACGAACTGGGATCGGAGCATGAGTGCTTGCTGTTCCACACAGAAGTCAGGTGGCTTTCGCGAGGGAATGTGCTCAGCCGCCTGTTTGAGCTGCGGGACGAAGTGCGCTTATTTCTGATGGAGCATGCGTCCCAGCTCGCTGACCACCTCACTGATCCTGACTGGTTAACAAGGCTAGCGTATCTGTCTTGCATATTTGAAAAACTGAATGGCCTTAATATGTCATTGCAAGGTGAAAACACAAGCATCATGTCACTGAATGATAAAATCTACGCATTCACGAGAAAACTTGAGCGCTGGACTGAGCGAGTTGAAATGGGTAGGATTGACATGTTTTCTGAGCTGGACGAATTCATTGAGGAAAATGAACTGAGTGTTAACATAGTGATGAAGTCTATCACTACTCACCTTCAATCCCTACTGGAACACTTCAACAAGTATTTCCCAAAGGAAACAGCTCCAGAACAATATGACTGGGTAAGATCACCGTTCACTGTAACAAGGGCTAATCATCTGACATCCAACCTGGAGGACGCATTGGTTGAACTGTCAAGCGACCGAACCTTAAAGACAGCGTTTAATTCCAAGACGCTGGCTGAGTTCTGGATTTCTGTCGAGAAGGAATACCCACAGCTATCCAAGGCCGCTATGGATGTACTGATGCCTTTTGGCACTACCTACTTGTGCGAAAAGACTTTCTCGGCACTCACGTACATTAAAAATAAACACAGATCGCGACTGAATGTGGAGGACGAACTCCGAGTGGCGGTCTCCAAAATTAAACCAAGAATGGACTTGCTGTGCTCCAAGCATTGTGCCCATCCATCTCATTAGGAGATGGTAGGCTAATATTTAAATGAAAGTAATGAGTAAATTACTATAAAACAGTATTATAGTTTGATTGTTGTGTTCTTTTTTGTTGTAAACATGCTCGTGTTTAGATAGGCCTATTTGTGCGTGTGCGCTTTTGTGCGCAACGGCATGTGCCCATCCATCTCATTAGGAGATGTTAGGCTAATATTTAAATGAAAGTAATGAGTAAATTACTATAAAACAATATTAGAGTTGTTTGATTGTTGTGTTCATTTTTTTGTTGTAAACATGCTCGTGTTTAGATAGGCCTATTTGTGCGTGTGCGCCGTTGTGCGCAACGATATTGTGCGCATCCATCTCATTAGGAGATGTTAATATTTAAGTAAGGAATAATTGACGACAGGCCGTTGAATTATTAGAAAAATAGTGCACACTCGAGCTAATAGGCTAAATGAAACACAAAGCCCTTTTAACAAGTAGGCCTATCAATAATTATTTATTTGTTATAGAATAATAACGAAAACCCGTGCAGTTTAATTTTTATTAAAATTAAACTGCATGTGTCCATTTATTGTGAAGTTAGACATTACAAATTGCAGATCAAGCGCATGGGGCTGCATGTTTTTTCTTGTTATGAATTGTATCCTATTTTCCGTTGTTACAGTTATTACTACGCGCAGTGATATGGAACTAATGCGGTCAAAACTACTTTAGCCGTGCGTTTCCCTGAAAATAATTGCACACCTTATAACCTTCTCAACCAATCAGAATCAAGCATGTAACAGCCCTGTAGTATAATATAAAATAATATAATGTTTGTTTTGACTGTTGTGTTCTTCTGTGTTGTAAGTATGCCTATTAGTGCGTGTGCACAGTTTCACGCAATGTTTGTATACTTTAACCACCTCCGAGGATAGTAGGGGTCGCGAGTCACTCGCACCTTTATTTTGGGGGTCGTGGGCTGAAAAGTTTGGGAACCCCTGTTCTAAGGTAATAAAAACATAACAGTTCATTGAGTAAGGTCTTTATACACCACTGAACACATAGTTATGGATCTTATATTGCATTTCTGTCAGTAGATCCTCAGAAATATTACACATTGCACCTTTAATCTTCACGCCATTGTCACTGTGCTGATGTGTTACAAGCAGTGAGGAGAAATTCCTAGAATGTTTCATGCTACAGTTGACTAATGTTGCTATATGAACATAACATATTGGCAGGAAAGAGTATGAGCTAAATGACAGAATAGAAACAGGAAATGATGGAATAGTAGTCATTAAACTTTGGTTTTAGTTTTCTCAATTATAAATAGTCATTGTATGTGTGGTTTGGAAACTTGTTACAATCTCCTTGCCAGCGACCCTCTTCCTAAAATATGTAGGAAACTATCATTTTTTTTTTATAAATAAAGACCCATTTAAATTGTGTGGGAAACATGGTAAGTATAAATATGCACAAAGATGATGTTGCCACAACAATGAAGTGGTTGGATTAGATTTTTTGTCATTTAACTAGCCAGAACAAATTATGATATAAAAAGATTATAAAGTACGCTGCATGTATGATCACAGATTCATATACTGTTGAGAAATTAAAAAATAAATGTAGGCCTATATATATTAGGGCTGCCAAATAGTCGACTAAACATTAGTCGACGAGAAGAGGGTTCAAGTCGACTAAATTTCAATTAGTCAGTTAGTCGCAAAAAAATAAAAAACTCCACAGGAAGTGGTGAAGTCACGCAGTCCATGACAAACCGATCGTAACACAGCTAGTCCAAATGGGTCCTGTCCTAAATGGCTCCCTAAACACTCGCGCCCTTCCTATGAGTTCGCACTTTCGTGACGTAACGCTTGCTTTCTGAAACCTAAAATGATAAATGGAAAACCCTACGGTCTCACGGACTTGACGGACATGCGCACGCGGCAGCCATTGTAAGTCCACAAGACCGAGAGTGGACATGAAGTGTTCCATTTGGGACAGGGACGTGGTAATTACAGTATATCGGGAAGGAAACTAAAATCTTCCCCTATCATTCATTGACCTAACTATGGCTTGACCACCCGCTCTAATGTTAACCTGGAAAAACATGCGTTATTATTGGCGCATGTCCAAGTGTTCGTGTGGACAGCGGATTTTTCATAATAAGAAACTAAAACTGCCAGTAGGCGGCAGTAAATGTCTTAATGAGTAAGCCATTGAGTCATTCAGTTCGTTGAAACAGATGATTCATTCAGATGATTCATTCAAATCGGCCATTGAATCATTGGTTCACCCGATTAATTCGCTCAAAATGCGAAATCATTTAGAAATGAAGCATGCATCGCTGTGTGTTGCTCGGAGACGTACAACAGTTCTGCTCTGGCTTTACAGGTCATATTTTCGTTGGCAAAATTGACCAAACGCAGACAATAGTGTGTCTAAAATATAACACAATATTAACTTTTTATTTATTGAACTTGTATAAAATCAAAATCACATTTACACTTGTGCTATTCTGGACAAAATCAGCACTCGTGTTATATTTCCCTCCTTACTCGTGTGATATTGCTTAACTATATTATAAGTACGACAACTCATACAGGGGCATTTTGCCCTGGTATCTTGAATTTTAGGAGCATTTTAACTGCATTATATAGGCTCCATCACGCAGTGAGTTGTTGCCCTGCATCATGTTTGTCATCAATCAATTGTATGAAATGTAAAATGATCTACGTAGGTATGGGATGTCGCAGGTGCGTTAAATGCGTTAATAATTTTAACATGTTATTTTTTCCCATAACTAATTAAATAAATTAACACATTAAAACGACAGCCCTATACATTTATAATTCACAAAACATATCAACTATTCATTTATTCGGACAGGTGGACTCTGCAACATACTCATACATACACCCTACAACATACTCATAGCACTATTTCTTGAATTTAGGTTTAAATAAGAAAACGCTTAAGACAGATTAAATCAAGTGTTGTATTTCTCTCAGCTTGGATTAGAAGTGATATATTTGTCCATATATTTGGGGACAGAATGCGTCTCCACACGTATTCACACACGCATTATTTGTAAGAAAGCAGAAATCTTCAGATGAATGTTAACATGACATTTTTTCACATTACCGTAAAACATTAGCAGAGATATGATATTGTATTGAGCCATATGGTGCACACAATACCGCTGAAGACCATTTGCTCACATATGCATACAGCCCACACAAATATATACAGCATTGAAGTCTCCCAGGGGAAATTACATTTCCACAGGCAAATAAAATGTAATAACCTGACAAATTTATATCTGTTAGTGTGAATGAAATGAATGCAATGAGTAAAGGAGCATTAATGGCTATTATTTCTCGCCTACTCCTATTCTTAAAAGATAATTCTGTCATTATTTGCTCATGTTGTTACAATATTTAAATATGGCACAACAGGACGTCACATGAGCTTTGACATCAGTGATGCCAGACGTTATTGGCTCTCATATGTCTTGTAGCAATCCGATCGCGATGTGGCGCTTTTGATGATGCACATAATAAATCATGCAAATTGGAGAGATATTGTGGAAAGGAAGACTGTCTGTGAATAATGACTTAGCTCTGTGAGAGGAGCAACTCAAAATTTATCAATTGACTTCAAAAAATTTAGAAGATGATGTTTACAGTTTATTTTTATGGTGTTTTTTGGAGCTTGAAAGCCCCTGCTTACAATTCAGTTTCAGTATATGGAAAAGAGTATCATGACCTTTGGTGGTCTGGTCTCTAGAAGAAAGTAGATCACACAGTATAAATGTCATGAGTCAAGTAGCTAATGACATAATGTTTCATTTTTGGGTAATCTTTAACAATTCATTTGATGCTATTTGTTGAAAATGAGTGTTTAGGTTGAGGAGGTTGGAGGTACCGCACTTTGAAGTGACAATTCTTTCCGCTAGAGAGGCTTTTGATGCTGAACCATCTTCTTAAAAAAATAATGAAGGAAGGGATGGTGTTTGTACAAAGAAGAAAAGAAAGACAGGAGAACAGATGAGGGTTGGGAGAAGGAGAACTAACACCCACCAACTTCAGATCTCCATGTGCTAGCTGAGGAAGAAAAAGAGTTGGGAAGACGAGCTGAGATCTCTCTCGCTCATTACCACTGACTGACAAAAGAACTCATTGTGGGGGAGAGAAACCAGTCGCTGTGGCTTTAGATTATAAAATACACACAATGTCGCTACGTTTCTCCTGCAATCTGTGTGATGATAGTTCTGTTTCTGTGGCTTGTATGACTCAAAGAAAGTCCTGTGATTATTATTGGTTTGTCAGGACATATTGTGGCATGGTATCCAAGCTGGTTATGCTAACGATCATAAAGTTCAGATGTTAGTTGTAGCAGTGAGTGACAATCAGTGAAAATGTTGTAACTTCTTTCCTACAGACTACCGACACCAAGTATGTATGTATGTATGGTATGAATGTATGTATGTGCAATGTATTTATTTATAATTGATTTTTTCACTATATTTTTTACTATTTCATTATTTTATTGTATTTTCACCTTATTCTTTCTCATCTTTTATTTTTTACTTATTCTCACTTAATTTTATTTTTTTACTTTTTCACTTTCACTTTTATTTTAAATTTATTTTATTTCAATTTCAGATATTTGATTGACATTTCACCAATTTAATAGGTAAAAGTAAGTATAGTTTAACAAATCACAGAATTATTTATATAGCTTAAATTTGAATAGCTTACATTGAGTGTAGCATTGAGTTGGGGGAGTGTGGATAAATGTTTTTTTGTAACACTTGTTTTTTAATAATTAATTGCACTAAATTAATATTTATTTTCCCATTCTAATCTTTTCATCGACTTTTTATGCAGGTTCACTGACCCAATAAATTAACCAAAAGAGACTTGGAATTAGGGATGTCACGGTACCAAAATTCCAGTAGTCGGTACCGATACCATTAAAATGTTACGGTTCTCGGTACCATTTTCGGTACCACAGCAAAATCAGTTTGAACTATT